GAAAGGAATAAGTCAATAAATATCTTGGTTAAATTTGTGTGGAGGATTTGAAATAATAACCAAATCAACTGTTTCTTGAGTTAATTAGCCTATACAAAGGATAGAAATGTTGTATTGTTGGTCTGTAGGGGGTAGAAAGGATGACTATAATAATGTGTATATTGGGAAGTAGATGTGCCCTGGTAAGTGTTGCATAGATCTTCTCAATCAAATGGAAAAGCTGTAGGCATGTTAATATTAATACTTATTATTTGTGGATCAGGTGGATCATTTACTTATAGGTAAATGATACCTAACAAAATACTCAGTGCACAGTAATTGTCCAGATGATTTTCTACACTCAAAGTGGGAAAAACAGGCAATAGGAGTCTGTGAGCATATTAGTACACGCTTTTTTAAAGAAAAACCAGGAAAAAACCATGAGGGAGAAGTGTGTTTTAAGAAGGGCTTGAAGGAATAGTAGTATGATAGAATTCATTAAAAAAATCAATAAGGAATCCTGTCTTATTTCACACGTGGAATGTTGAACAATGACTGCAGACACAGGGCATGCTCCAAAGGAGTATTTTGTACTGGTTGGTTTGAGCCAGCTCTGACCCTTGTAATAAACTGAATTAACTCAACTAGCAGAAAGCTAACACCCACCTGGCTACCCCAAGTACATTTTTTGCTGGAATAGAAAGTTGGATTGCCTGCATAAAAGGTCTCTGAAGGGCCTTAGATAGGAGAAGGGAGATGGCGGGCAATGTGCAAGAGCAAGGAGAAGGACTGCAAATCTATTTTTAAGTAAGCATAGTCTTTCATTGTGAAATCACACCTAAAGACAATGCTTTCTCTGAGTTATCTGACAAATGTCTGCTTCAAACATAAACCCCCCCATCTGTTCAAAGGGAAAGTAGCTAATTGCTGGAGTTTCTAATATCCAGTGGGCTGCAGACTTCTCAAGAATTGGAAAGGCAAATTACTTCTGAGCTGTAAAGGTCTCATCACAGGCAACTTGTGAAGAGGCAGCTCCCTTGATGAGCTTAGTTTGAGTTTGAAATCATAAATGGGCACTTGATGATTCTGGTGTTAAAGTGATTCCAAAAAAATCTGCTGGGCATTCAGAACTTGCCGAAGGTAAGCAACAGGATCAGCCAAGAAGGAGCAAGAGAGGAAATGGGAGGAGTGAAGGGGAACATTCCTTTCTGGCACACCAGTGCACTCACAGAACCACACTGTGTGCCTTCTAAGGTGGAAGGCATCTCATGAGCAATCCATGACACCTCCCCTGCAGCATGTGAAACATGTCCCAGTCAGAAGTACTAGAGACCTAACTCTAGAATTTTGCTTTGTACATTTGGCAAAGAACAGATGTCACATGCCACATACCAGATATTGCAAGATCACTCAGCCCTATGTGACATGCTTTAAAATCAGAGCTGAAAACAGGACATCTGAGTGAAGAAGCTGCGTGTAAGGATGCCTAGACTGCCACCACTAAAAATGCCGTTAACTGTGTATGTGCTTTTAACCCAGAATATTTTAATCTTGAGATCAAATTATACGTTGAGTCGGTTCTCAAGAGTTTGCACCACTGAAAGCAGAATCTTCCTCCTCCTCCTCCCTGCTTTGCTCCCCAGATTGTCTTTCTGTCTCCTGCTCATCCGAAAAGTACCAGTGAGGGCAGAAGTAAAGGAACAAAAGTAGTGATGAGGAAAGGGGGCTGTGTCTTTCACAGTGATAAAGTCAGATCTGCTCAAGTTGCAATGTATAACCTCACACACAGCCCTCATGGAAAGAGGATTAAACCAAATTGCACTATTGTGCATATGTCCTGGGCTGTGGCATGTAACATGCTAATGCATGGTATTGTTAACAAGTGTCCAAACCATCAGACTGTATTCCTTGTTTTCTATCATACTGCTTATGGGAAAAGCCCAGACAAATCATGGCCCAGACAGAGATCTGAGTGATTAAGGAGTTTGATAGTGATTTTGGAAGCTAAATCAACTATATGACAGCACTTTATGCGTCAAAGAAAAATGTTATCCAAAAATTCTAGCCTGGACTAGATCCTCTGAGATCAAAGTCTGAAAACTGAGACCAGGACCTATGAACATCAAGTTTACCTCAAGACAATTAGAGTCCAGTACTCTACTGCGCTTGTAATAAATTTTTGACAATAGTATGGGCCATACTGTAAGATGGAGCAAGGAGAATTTACTGGGAATATCCTCATGGAATGTTCGGGGCCTTTTGGCATACCTGCTTTACAAAATTTGAAATCATAATCATTAGAACCAAGTTAATTAACAATAGCCTGATGCAAGCAATTATTTCAATGCTAACAAGATACAAGACTACTTTTTACAAGATAGAAGATATCTTGTAAGATAAAAGATACCTTTATATACAAGATACAAGACCAACTTTCAGCGAACTGTTGGAGGTGATCCTCAGTTTGCTGTGCTGAGTCATACCTGTGTCATGTAGATTGATGTTGTCAAACTGTCTTAAAAACAAGGCTTCTTGATATTGTAGGATTTACTACTGCTACTTTTTTAAAAGTAGAAAGCCAAGAACTACCTAAGTGCTGTATATATTTAAGTATTCTAAGGGACACTTTCATTCCAGTATTACATTTTCACACAGTATGTCAAAGCATTCATTGATTTAAAATGTGATCCTAGTCTGGAAATGTCACTTGTGAACAGCGTTTTCTTTGTGAATCATTTAGTGCAGTACTGTGTTTTCTGGCATGCATTCAAGCGGAAAAAAAAAGTGTAAACAGAACTTTGAAATTAATTTGCCATTTATTATTACTCAGCACAACACACAGCATAAATATTGTATTTATTTTCCATAAACTATGCTTTTTGCATAAAACCCCTAGGATTATGGAGAAGTAATGAGCCAGGCACATGAGAATTGCTTAAGTAAATTCTTAATCTTTGCATTTATCAGCTCATACTTCTTTTTTTCTTATGGTGCACATCTATTTCTTAATGTTTGGAACAGGAACTTTTTTAAAACCCTGCATATGTTCTTATAGTGTTGTTTTAGTATAGCTAATTATATATAAAGATTTGAATGTAATTTCATAAGTAGAAACCTTAAATGAGGATGTGATGAATCTGATGAATGGAGATCAGGCTCCATTTTCACTCAGGCAAGACATTATGCATGTGGGCAGCAGCGTTTATTGGTCAAGTGATCAAGTGTCCTCATAAATATTTGTCCCCTGTTATCTGGATATACTTATGTGCTATCATGCACTCAGAATTACTGCCCAGTTTGCAATCAGAAGTACCTGGGGCTTCAGTGATGTAATCTGGTCTGTGTGTGTCTCCTGTGGAAAGCATTTGGGTCATAGAACAGGCAGGAGACAGTTGTGGCAAGGGGCCTGGAGGAAAGAGTTTTGCAAGAAGCAGCTCTAGGCCAAGTTATTCTTGTGTACTGTTCAGAGTAAGATCACTAGATTTTTTTTTACTTGGTTTGTTCAGAGTGGACAAAACACTGTTTGCTGGAGTTATTAAAGCAAATACAGGCAAAACCTCCTTACATTCATCTAACAGTAGTAGAAGAGTTGCAGTTGCCAAATCTTTTGTCTTTTAAGAGTTAGATTATGATTCCCTTATGCTGAGTAGTGTTTTCCCATTTGAAGTAGTCCTATTAATATCATAGAATCATAGAATGATTAGGTTTGGAAAGGACCTTAAGATCATCCAGTTCCAACCCCCCTGCTATGGGCAGGGACACCTCACTCTAGACCATGTTACCCAAGGCTCTGTCCAACCTGGCCTTGAACACTGCCAGAGATGGAGCATTTACTACTTCTTTGGGCAACTTATTCCAGTGCCTCACCATGTATCGATGTAATAAATATATCAAGGTAATGATAGTCATATAAATATCTACCCAATTAGAGATTAGCATTATCCAAAGTTAGTAAAGAGAATAAATATTTAAAAAAAATCTTACATACTTTCTCAGTAGGTAGTCTTCTGGATATAAGAATTAGGCCCTATTCCTCCAATCTGACTAGTTGCAAAAAAATCAAAATCCTATGCAGAATTCCTGTTAGATCCATCTAAGGAATGAGGAAAAGACAACACAAGAGTTGTTTACTGTTCTTTTTTGAAACACACTTAAGTTTGGGTTGTTTTTTTTTTAAATTGAGAAGAAATCTCCCTAAAAGCTATATCTAAGATTCAGTTTCAGTGTCGTGGTTTAAGCCCAGCTGGTAACTCAGCCCCACACAGTCTCTTGCTCATCCTCCCCCTTTCCCAGGTGGGATGGGGAGGAGAATCAAAAGAATGTAAAACCCACAGGTTGAGATACGAACAGTTTAATAACTAGGATCAAGTAAAGTGTAGAGATAATAGAAAGGATACCAACAATAACAATAATGACAATAAAAGGAACAATAATGATAATAAAAGGAAATAACAAGAGAAGAAATGAAAGCTCAGAAAACACAAGTGATGCACAATACAATTGCTCACCACCTGCTGACTGATACCTAGCCCAACCTGAGCAGCAATCGGTTCTTTCTGGGTAACTCTCCCCATTTTACATATTGGGCATGACATGCTGTGGTATGGAAAAGCCTTTGGCTAGTCTGGGTCAGGTGTCCTGTCTCTGCTCCCTCCCAGCTTTACGTGCCCCTCCTCACTGGCAGTGCATGAGAGGCAGAAAAGTCCTTGATCAGGGTAGGCATTACTTAGCAACAGCTAAAACATCAGTGTGCTATCAGCATTGTTCTCAGACTAAAGCCAAAACACAGCACTGCACCAGCTACTAGGAAGAAAAGTAACTGTTACAGCTGAAACCGGGACAATTTGGAATATGCTATGCTATGTGTAGGAGAAAAAGCCTTTTAATAGACTTTTTTAGAGGATTAAAGGTTGGATTTTGCTGTAATTTACAATGGAATTATGTGAATCATGCATGATTACTAAAATCTGAGAGAAGTTATCCTATGAGGAATAAAAATCTTGTTTCTGTTCTTTCTTCAGCTATTATTGTGTACAGGTTGCCCTGGACCTGGAAGTGCAGCAAAGTCCTAATGAAGTTCATACATGCTGGATTAAATACCATAGCTATGATTCTCGCAATTGTTTCTATGGTAGCCGTGTTTGAATACCACAATGCCAGTAACATTCCTAACATGTACAGTCTGCACAGCTGGATCGGGCTGACTGCTGTTATATTTTATTCTCTCCAGGTCAGAATCTAACTGTATTTATAAACAGGTTGTAAACTTTAAGAATGTATTGAGCAATTCAGGTACAATAGGCCCTCACTAAAACACTGTAACTTCTCGGATACCCATTTCACATTCTGTGATTTGGCAAATTAGTGAATGTGCAAATAGAGGATCTTTGACTACAAAGAAAGAATGTATTTTAAGGCATATTTTGTTTATTTGCTGGGATAACGTCAGTTTATCTCCTATTCAGTTATACAACAGCATGTTTCTAAGCTCTATAAACTGCTGAAGTTAAAGCAAATTATTTGGTTTGTTGGCAGCATATTTAAATACAGTCAGGGATTTTACTAAGGAAGTCTCAAATGAAGCAACTGGTTTTCCTTTTTTATAGCTATCATGATTTTAAGTAGTCACTTCTTGGCCTCAAGACCTTTGTTTATCACCAGAACAATGCAGCAGTGCAGATTGAAAGGATCTAACATCTGAATGAGCTACTACTGGCTAACCAGTTTTCCTGAATCAGCAAAACTTTGATAAATGCTCTTGTGCATGCTTTTAACTGCTCCTATTGGCAGAGAATTAGAGTTGTTATAATCTAAAATGAGCTCGTATGGTTTGCATTTGGCATAGAACAGGAGCAGGCATGCCCTGACGTTTAGTGTACACATACAGATGTGATGTTTCTGCATATATGTTCTGAATTCCCTATATTGTGTTATTACACTATGGAAATTTATTTTGTTCCTTCAAATTGTGACTCTTAATATTTTTACCAAAACACCAGAAAGAAAAAAAATAAGACTTTATTAACTGGTGATCAAGCACAGAAAATCCCCACCTGAGGAATTTGGTTTCTGGACTTTTATCCTTTACTGCTCAGGCTAGCAGGTACAGGAAATAGTGTTGAAATAGTGCTTTTAACACTTTTAAAAAAAAGAAAGCATATTGCAGCGTTGTCAAGTATATTCTTTATAGTTGAAAAAAATAAGAATGAACATGAATGAATAAGAAGGAACAATGTTAAGGTTTTCCTTGTTCTAGTTAGTGATGCAGTTATTTCAGGGAAATCTGTGCTGCCACTATACTGGGTATCATCATTTTTTCTAATGGTTAAGAAAAGAACTGTGAATAAGAACTTAATTCTGATTTCCATTCTGCTACTATAAACATGATCTGTGGCACTTAATGCCTTGCCTGTCTCATCAACAGAACTGTGGTGTTACTTCATCTAAACTGGGATGTAAGTCTCCAATCAGAGACTGCTGTTAAGTGATTGAGCGCTATTGTTAAAATATAGTCGTGAAGTCTGTTAATAGAGAAGAGCCATGTCATTTGCCAGAAATGGCATATCGATCTCAAAACTGAAAAATTATTGAGGGGGGATGCTCACATAATCCTATACCTACAGGAACAATAGTGCAAATGTACTGTATTTAAGCCAAATGTGTGTTAATACAGTATAAGATAAGGACATAAATTTAAGAACAGGACAGAAACATAAACTGGAGATTGGCTCTTGGGAAGCAATGTCTTTGGAAAGTACTCAAAGATGACATGAAGCTCAAAATGAATTCTCATGATGCTGTGAAAACAAAAAGTAAATTCTAGTAAGAGATCATCTTAACCTTCATACATGGCATTAATGAGACTAATACGAAATCCTGTGGAATACATGTTTTTAAAATGTAAAAGAAAAAAAAAGCAAAGAAAAACTGAAAAAGTAAATTGAGAGCTGGAAAAACTGTCTTCCAGTGAAAGACTTAAAAAGCTTCAACTGTTTAGCAGATCTAAACGAGATTAAGAGAGGACCTGATTATGGTGTATTAAAAAGCTTCCCAGGGAGAAAATACCAGGCTCTTTAATCTAGCATGGGAAGAAAAAACAAGGAGTAAGACTGGAAGTAAGATGAAATACAAATTCATGCACTATTTCTAATTTAGCAACAGCAGTGTGTAATGGTACAACAAACTGAAGAAGGGATGCAGCCTCAGTATGAACGGGCAAGCCCGTGACTCAACCATGTGACATGATGGGTTATCTTCTGTCACAAAACTAGTGCTAATGGGAGGACTCATCCCCTGAATAACTTCACGCCACCCACACACTGAAAATTTGTGTTTCCAGTACTTACTTTGGTTGCAGTTTTTGCATTACCAGTAAGTCTGGACACTCATGTTAGGTGTGATTATTTATAAAATATTTTATGTCTGCTTCCCAGGTGCTAATCCAGAATTTTTGCTTTGGTTTTGAACAGAAACATTCAGAAATAAAAATGCCAATTCTTTTCAAATTTGCACCTGACAACGTCTCAAAATGGAATCTTTATGATGATTTTTATTCTGCTTGAGAAGTTCACCATGTTTACCACATAGGTTTAACTATGAATCTGTTTTGTGTTTAGCTTTTTTTTGGTTTCGCTGTCTTTCTGCTCCCTTTTGCTCCAGCTTCTCTCCGAGCAGCAGTCATGCCGATACATGTTTATTCGGGTCTTACCATCTTTGCAACCGTGATTGCAACAGCTCTCATGGGAATCACAGAAAAGCTTATATTTTCCTTGTAAGTATTTTTTTTTTCCATTTGTTTATTAACGTTATTCACTGCAAACTCTACTTCCATTTGCACACAATAATAACCATCGAGTATTGCAACATTGTTTTCTTTTGCTTTGTTTTGTTTTAAAAAGACCTCCTACCTAGCAGGAAACTGGTATTTCTAGACCAGGATTGTCTGTAAAACAACTGACCTTTTTTTTTTTTTCATCTTCCAAAGGCGCAGTAATCCTGCATACAGTGAATCCCCACCAGAGGCAACTTTTGTCAATTGTCTTGGTCTTTTGCTTGTCATATTTGGTATATTTATTTTGTGGATGGCAAGCAGGCCCTATTGGAAGCGCCCCCCAGAAGAGAATGCTAAAGCTCTGCTGCCCACTGGAGGGTCTCCCGAAGGCACAGAAGCAGAATCTGCGATGACAGACAGTGGCAATGCAGATAAATCTGATCTGAGGATCAGTAGTGAAGCAGCCAGAAAACAAAACCTCAAACTTGATGAAGCAGGCCAACGATCAACTATGTAAAGACAGTACACAGAATAACAGTACTGTTATACTGCCAACCTGCCCCTCCCTCAACCTGTTCCTTATGATTTAGTTATATTGATATATAAATAAGTTGTGGTTTTATTTTCTGTACGGCTTGCTCAAAGATAGTCAAGTTTTCTGCATATGATTTAAATTCCAGTAAGTCCCAAACATATTATATTGGCTCATGCTCAGTCCTCATTTAAAAAATGAGAGTGTGAATGACATAACGGGAGAATCACATAATTGGAAAATGTTTTCCATATCACTTCTTAATTTAATGCTTATACCTGTTATAGTCATGACAAGTTAACAAGAGTGAGACTAGATTTTGCTCTGAGTGATTTTGCAGGTTATGAATCAGAGTCATGAAGTATATCTGGCAGCAGAATCTAGTTGGTCACACATAATTTTTCTGGTAATCTTCATGTTTTGAAAGTCCTGATTTCTCAAGTTGATTAACCCCCTTCACCAACGTCTAAGATTGAGGTAATTCATCACTTAGCAGAGTGGCACCATAAAAATATTTTTTCTTATTTGGAAAGATATAGATACACACTTAGAAAAATATGCATCACTTAAACCAAGTCTTCCTTTTATCCCAGAAAGCAGCATTTTCGTATCTTTATTTGATTGCACAGTTCTATTGATTTATGGCACTAGACTAGAAATTAGGAGCAGAGAAGAAAGCAGAGAAAACTGCTAGCAGTCTCCTACAGAAGAAAGGATCTTGAAGTGAGAAATGCTTCCTCCAAAAACAGCTGAGCTTTACTGATTTGATTAAAATGCTACCTGTTAACTGAAAGCCAATTTCATATCTTCACACTGGTGTCAAAATCATCACTGTCATGGGCATGAAGACATTTTTTAGTTTATAAGCAAACTATATAAACTCTATGACTTTTTAATTTGAAATTAAATTGTTAAATAGTGCAGTTTGAGCCTTTACTGGCACTTTACTTTTATAGCTCTTCCTCGTAATCGGAGTATTAATGTATTACGTTCATTCATTATTTTCACAGATATAAACAATATTTGTATTTTTTACTACTACGAAAGAATAATTATAAGTAGATTATTTTGATTTCACATGCCCAAAAGGATGATCCTTTCTATTATAATCTCTTGTAAAAGCTGCAGAGCCCACTGCAAGTCCAAATTTACCACTGTTTGTGTTGCAATATAGGCAGTTTCAGACAGCATGTAATTTCCTACTTTTTTAAACTACAAAAATTTTTATCTACTTCATCTTTTTAAAATGTTTAAACACATTCAACTTTAGGAAATATGTTATTTTCGTAGTTCAGTATTGTATTAGTACAATTTTGGTCATGAGTTCCTTTGGATCTTCACTTACAAGAAACATCTGTTATTTGATTTGTAATAACATTTAATCATTTGGTGAATGCAGCATAGAAAGTTAGCATACTGAATTATTTGAAAAACTTTTCTGCAGTACCATTTGGTAGTCAAGGACTACATCCCAGAGTTGTGTTTTCACTTACATATGTTTGTGCATGGCTGGGACCCACCTAGCATTGGTGAACTGTTTCATTTAAGAAAATGTCTGCTTTTAGATGCCTTAGTGTAAAATTCAGGTATGACAGGAGGAATAGTAAACTATTGTGTGAGCACTTCTCCAGTCCCCCACCATCAGCAATGGATCAGACAGCTTTTTCCCTGTTTTTCAAGTTCCACACAATTACCTGTCTTCCCTAAAATTGTTCTGTGCAGCTTCAGCATTGTTGTGGTTTAGACCCACCTGGTAACTCAGCACCATGCAGCCGTTCGCTCACTTCCCTGACTCCCCCTGCTCCCGGTGGGATGGGGAGGAAACTCAAAAGAATGTAAACCCCACGGGTTGAGATAAGAACAGTCCAATAACTACAGTATAATACAAAACCACTACTACTACCACCAATAATAATAAGGGAAATAACAAGGGGAGAGAATATAAAACCAAAGGGGAAAAGGGAAAAAACCAACACAAGTGATGCACAATACAATTGCTCACTACCTGCTGACCAATACTCAGCCCAACCCAAGCAGTGATCTGATCCTTCCAGGTAACTACCCCCAGTTTACATACTGGGCAAGATGTGCTGTGGTATGGAATACCCCTTTGGCCAGTTTGGGTCAGGTGTCCTGTCTCTGCTGCCTCCCAGCTTCTTGTGCCCCTCCTCACGGGCAGAGCATGAGACTGAAAAGTCCTTGATCAGGGTAAGCATTACGTAGCAACAACTAAAACGTAGGTGTGTTATCAGCACTGTTCTTGGACTAAAGCCAAAACACAGCACTGCACCAGCTACTAGAAAGGAAAAAAAAACCCCTTACAGGTGAAATCAGGACAAACATAAAATCCAAATAGTACTGATAGCAGGTTTCTCAGAGAAAAACAAGAACACTTGTTTTACATTATATTAGTGCTCAACTGACATGACCTGATCATGTTATGCATCCTATTACAAATTTATGTATTGAACATTAAGTAGGAAGAGGGATTCGCAGTAGTTTCTGGAGAACACTAAACTGCACTGTCTTCTGATCTCATTATATTTTGCTCAACAAGCCTGCTTTTTGATTAAATCATTAAGCATCTTACAGCTGGTGGATGAATGTTTAGTCTTTGTGAGATGCTCTGTTAATACTTCTGAAGTATATCAGATTAAATGAATAAATGAACTCAGCTGTTCTAGTAATTTACTATGCTAGCTTTCTCTACACACACAGGCAACAGCATTCTAAGTTGGTATGTACTGGCCTGTTACTGTGTCTCGTCCACCTGTGAAAATGAGCTCTTTCAATCCTTGCCTGGTACCCAGTGTGTAGAAGGTAGTCACTTACCTATGAATTGTTCTGGAAGAAAATGTCTAGTATATTGGGAAAAAAAATTACAAAATCTGTGATTCCTTTTTTTATGGCACTAACTTGGATGTATTGAAATCAACAGCTTCTAGGTGAATGGTTCTGTATGCTGTTAAAGTTAAGCTATAGCAACCAGTATGTCTTGTGTTCTACGTTTTATTCCATGTTCTGTTTAAGGTAATGATACTTGAAAAAGAACAGTGGCATTTCTTTATCCACCTATTCTGATGATACAAAACTAACTGAAAATCAAAGCTTGGCAACCTTTTGAGGATACTCTGCCAGAGTATAGTTTTGGTTTTCAACTGTGAGGTTAAATATGATAGTAGAAACTCAGTGGGATCTGGAAGATCCCATTCTGTGAAGTTATCATCATCAGTGGTATCTCCTGTCTATGAGCTGTGGGATTCTAGTTGCTTTGGTCTTTGGAAGGTCCCTATGAGATGCAGTAGCTGGGAGCTCCTAAACCTTGCTCAACTTTGGAGTGTACAATTTAAAACAGACTCAACGTGCTATAGATTTTTGGCTTGTGTTCTGAACTGATTAAAAATGTCTTTAAGTATCCTTGCAACATATGAGGTTAGTTCAGGTCCTAAGTAAAAAATACATAGGACTTTGGAGACCAATTTTCATTGGGGGAAAAAAACATATTGCCAAGCTGCTTCTCAGAGTGGCCTTCCATTGACTTTCCTTTCATGCAACTTTTCTTACATGTATTATGGGTAATAGTAGCCACACAGGAAATAAAAAAGTATATTTTCAAAGATACACATGGAAGGTATAACTCTAGCTTTTTTATCAGGATTTTTCTGCATGTTTGGAAATCTTCTACGTTGGTGTATTTACAGGGATATGATTGTAGAGCTCACATTCCAAGTGTGGATTCCTATAAAAACATATGAAGTTACAAAACCTAACATTAAAAGTGCTATCTTTTTAAGATGCCTGAAAAACAAAATTACATGTAATTACCTGCTGTCATGCAGTTCTGCGCACAGCAGCAGAACAGTGTTTTATCCAACATTAATGAAACTGAAAAGTGATGGTACAAGTTAGATTTTAAAGTTGAATGTACAGTAATTACTGTATGCTTCTTACTTCATGTAACCAAGAAATTGCATATGATATTGAAAATATGATATTGTAAATATGGATTACTTATTTACATGGATATTTTATTGAAAGACTGAAAGATATTGCCAAATTTTTCTATTTCAGAAGACTCTTTCTTTTGCTTCTATTTCAAAAAAATTCGCTCCTCTGTTTCAAACTGTTCACAAGAATCCAAAGAATTATTTCATTGTTTTGTTACTTGCAGTACTTACTTGTATATGAAAGCAAATGTTTAATTACAATGTCTATTTTCCTTATTCTTTTTGTATGTTAATAAAAATGATTTTTCAAGCTTATGATACCACTGAGTTCATATTTATATTACGGTGCTAAAATACAACTTTCTGAATTTGGCAGAAGATCAAATTATTCTTATGGTTACTTTTTGAAAACAGGAGGATAGTTGTACAAAATTTCTTAAACATTTCTTAATAGCAAGTATTCCTGATGATCTTCCTGATGAAATTTATGTACTCTGTAGTGTTAGAAGGATAATCGGTATATAACAGAAAGTGAAGGAATTCACTGTAGAAAGAAAGAATCTGTATTTCACCTTCTGATCATAACAGAAATTCCTCAGAGCAGCTGTTAGAGGAGAAAAAACCCATAAACTATCCTCAGTCATGAGATTGCCATAGCAAATAAGGGAAGATAATAAATTCTGATGTATGACATAATGCACTGTAAGATCCAGATACCCTCTGATATGTAACAGCCAAACTGAACACAGAACAAAGGTTTGACCCCATGGAATCTTCTAACCCAGATATAACATCTGCACATCAAGTTACTCATCAATAGGTTATTGATAAGTAATATCATAAAATGCTATAAATGGCAAAACCATCTGTATGAACATATCTGTAACAAGTAAGAATTAAGGTATGTTCTTCAGCTTAGTAAGATTAATTACACTTCTAAAATGCAAAGTATAAGCTGATTATTCCTGAATATCATACAGCTGTTGGATAAAACTTTCCAACATTGTCATTACTGTGGAAGAGTAAAATATACCGTTA